GCCCATCCTTGTAACCTATCTAGGTCCAACTGTAGCCTGTTGCTCCCCTCTATTGTGCCCACATCCCCCCACATCTTAGTGTCATCAGCAAACTTGAACAGGGTGCTTTGCACCCCCTCATCCAAATCACTGATGAAGATGTTGAACAGGGTGGGCCCAAGGACCGAGCCCTGTGGGACCCCACTTCCCACGTCCTTCCAGGTCGAGAAGGACCCATCTACTACCACCCTTTGGGTGCAACTCTCTAACCAGCTGGAGACCCATTGGACTGTATGGGTGTCTACGCCACAGTCCCCCAGCTTCCTAATGAGAATGGAAGGTATTAGCACCTGCAATAGAAAAAAGCTTTCTGGGACACTAACGAGGAAAGAACAAAAGCTTTTTGTAGGAGATTTACCTTATTCCCCGCTAAGCATAATGTTTTAAGGTGCTGTTGCTCCCAAAGGGCTTTCAGTTCCTACAGCAACATGGCTCCAGTAGACAGAGACAGAGAATACAACAAGATTGGCTTTAGTCACTGTCAGCCAAGTGATTAGGCTGGCTTAACCTCCAAAAGTCTTCCAAAATTATGCATTTTTTACATGCACATCATTAATATGCTGTTTATCCCATCATTAGCTCGCACACATTAACATGCTTGGGCTCATACCCAGATTATATGTTGAGTAACCAATAAGAACAGGCACTACACTTGATCTGAGCTCACAAGAGGCCAAGAAGTGATACAAGCACCAAGACCAAGCATGTTCCCATTATCAGGTGATATCTGGTATGTATACTAACTTTACTTCCCCATTAATCCAGCCTGTTTATCATACTGTATTTTATCAATTCCAAGATGAGCTTCCCCACCTCATTTAACATGGGTGGGGGGGAAAGGTCCCTCATCTTGGAAACAAGTACAAGGTGGTGATGGAGGGCAGGCAGAAGCTTTGGCTGAAGGCTTGGGACCAGAGCTGGAGCCACAGCAGGTGCCTTCCCCGCACCACCTCTGCAACCCCTGCCTCTCCCACCTCATCTTTGGGTACCCACCTTTAAAATCACTTCTTGAACTCCCTGCTTTCACCAACCCCATAATTTCTGCCCTCTGTCAGTTTGAACACTGCCTCCTTCTGC